CTCAAAAGTCTAGTGATTTTTTCAACCAGACCTTTGATTCCAGCATAAAGTAAGAGGAATGACTTTAGCAGGCTCGGATGAGTCGCTATTGCCACATTGAACAAGGACAATGCCTCCTCCACCCGGCCTTGCCGTTCGTGGACCTAGAAAATAGTTGATCCGTCAAAAAAGGGTCACCGTGACAGTGCATCGTGACCACGATCACATTCACACTTACCATCCCTAAACAGCCTAATAACACCGCATTGGCAGGGTGGATCTCGACAGCCCGCTCGAAATGATATTGTGCCATTGGTAGCCGCATCATTTTGAGATAGCAACTCCCTAAACCGTACCTGCCTCGTGAAAGGGGTGCATCCAGAGATAACGTTAGTGTAAACATTCCGGGGAATTGAGCTATCTCACCATGCATTATAATGCCGTCCATCGTGTCCTAAAGCAGTCTGGAAGAGAATAATTGCCTTTCTGACGTCCTCCGCCACCAATGCCTCATGTCCACTCAATGTATAGGCGTATGCACAGAAGGGATCCATCTCTGCTGCCCGTTGAAAACATACAAGCGCTTGAGAATGTTCTTTCTGAAGTGAAAAACAATTCCCCACAGCTATCCACGCTTCGGGGGATTTTGAGTTTATGTTCAACAATTCTTGCGCTAGGAACGACAGTTGCGCATTGCGCCGTAGATGCCATAACAATGTTGAATAAAGATCCATGTCCCATAGTCGATACGGATCTAATTTACGAGCGGCTTTGAAGGCACGCTCAGCCTGCCCAGGGTACTTTGAGAGATATGGCCAAGACACTGGCAAGCGTACTGACCTGTATATATTCCACTAGTTCGTAGTAAGCCTTTGCAATCATAACCATGGCACTGGGAGACATTCTTTGACTCTGTGGTAATTTTTCTACACATTGTATCGCGGCTTTACTTTCATATCTGCTCAAATGATATTGCGCTTTGGCAAATAGCTTCATCATGTCAAAAACGTATCTCTCTGCTGTGAGTTGACTGGCTTTGGCTTCCTGAGAAGAGTTCGATGTAGCATTGAGGTTCTCGGTGGAATCAGAGCGTGGTGACTGTGGTATCGAACCAGAGGATGGAGAAAGGGCATCCGCGGGATTATCTTCTGCATCCGAGACTGACGTCGAGCGATTCGTAGTCTTCCTTCGATTGTCTCTTGCAGGGGGTGGATACTTGTATTCTAGTCAACATGAGATAGAAAAAACATGTTGTGACACGCACTTTCAGCTTTCCTGTACTCATCAAGAGGCGCGTACTACGCCTTGTAGAAGGTGGAGCGGCCTCAATTGGGCCCAGTCCTGCCTTTCATAACGAGTCAGTGCCTCTGGTTTCTGTCTGTAAACAGCCGCCCTACATTTTTGCTCGAGCTGGGTTTGCCTCGTTGTGAGACTCCAGTTGTACGGAAACGCTTGCTTGCTGGAGCAGAATCGTCTAGTCCAGCGTTTCCGCGTCGTACTCCAGCATGTTGCCCTCCGAGTCGACTTGAAGCCATCGGTGGCCCTTTTTGAAAGTTAGGCAAAGTCAAGGGGGTATTTTGATCACTACGAAAATGAATAAACCGAGCCTGCTAAAGTCATTCCTCTTACTTTATGCTGGAATCAAAGGTCTGGTTGAAAAAATCACTAGACTTTTGAG